GCCCTGCCCTGCCCTGCCCTGCCCTGCCCTTCCCCACAAGCTCGATTCCCATCCGAGCGTCGGCCAGCGATAGCAAGTTGCTCCGCTGCACGGGCAGGAACACTTTGAGATCCGTTCAACTTCTCCGTTCCGTTCCTGAACACGGACCCCGTTGTGTCGTCCCTCTCTCCGTGCTCGGACACAGATGCCAGACGTCTGCGCTCACTTGTACATCGACCGCAGCCGTCATGCATGGCTGCTCCCCTGAGCGCTGAGCCGAAACCGAGCGCCACCTTTCCTCATATAGGACCTTGAGGCAGACCCTGTCGAGCATTTCCCTTTCTCCAAACTTTGCGTCTATCGGCCCGTCGTGTTACTCTTACCCGCTATCCCTTCTTCTCCGTCCACATCGCCATTTCCGCTGACAGCCTTCGATAGGTTGCTTCGATCGATCAACTGTATTCTTATCGCCTCGACTTCCGACGTGGATCGCCACCTTTCTCCCACCTGCCGAGCTTATTCTGCTTAACCTCCCGCTCTCTCACCAACAGCTCGCCGGTCGAGCTTCATCCTGCTTCGCTCCGCCAACTCAGCTTCCTGTACAACATCCGCCGAACGCAACATCCGAACGTTCATTCATCCGTCAGCATCCCATCAGTGCCCGCCAGTTGCGCTTATCAGCGGAGGTACACCCGTCTTCACCACGCACCACCCCAAACCCACCTTGCGGCTCCGACTTGCGGCTCCGACTTGCGCATCGAGAACCATTCGTGTATTAAAGCCAGCTTCGACAGATAGATCAACAGCAATACTCACTCGCATTCCCCTTCCTCTGCTCAGAACAGGCAGCAAGATCCCTCATACAATCTAGAAGAACGAGATGCTGCATTTCCTCAAGCTCGCCCCGACCATTTCGGTCGCCCTACTCGTGCTGCAGCAGCAGATGCAGCCGAGCGGCGGCGGTCGAGCCTTGGCCAGGCCGGTGCGTGGAGAAGCTGGCAGTGAGGCTTTTCCTGTCCTTGCTACGAGCCCTCGCTCGACCGGACCCGCGGCGGATGCGGGCAGTTCCGCGAACGCTGACCCGCCCGCGGTGCTCAAAGCTCTCGACGCCATGTCTGGGTCGAAGCCACAGACGGGTCAGAGTGCCACTCCCTACATGGCCATCAATCACGGCGAAGGAGGCGTCATCAAGCCAGGTCAATCGTCCGACCACAGCCAGGGCGGCAAGAGCAGTGATGCGGCCAAAGCGGCCATGAAGACGTTGCAGCAGCCACGCACGCGCTTCTGTGCACAGGCGGCCAACACGAACCGCACCGTAGATGCCATCTCGCAGAACCTGGTGTCTGCCGAGCGCAAGCGGCTCGCCAAGATCCGCAAGCAGCGTCAGGCCAAGTCGACAGGTCACAACGCCACCGATGCACGCTCTCTGACCGATGCAAAGTTGCTGGCGGAGCAGTCCAAGACGGTGGATGTGGTTTGGCATGTGATCCACTCTGGCAGCTCCGGCAACTTGTCCGATGCCATGATCGCCGACCAGATCCAGACGCTCAACGAGGACTACAAGGCGTACGGGTTTGCCTTTGAGCTCAACACCACCAATCGCGTGGAAAACGCCAGCTGGTACCGAAACATCATGCCCGACGGATCGCTGCAGGACCAGATGAAGGCCCAACTCAGAAAGGGAGATGCAAAGACGCTCAACCTGTACAGCGTTGATTTCAACAACGGCCTGCTGGGGTACAGCTCGTTCCCGTGGAACATCGAGGATCTGACCAACGATGGCGTCGTGTTTCAGTACTCGACTGTTCCCGGCGGGAGTGAGACGGGGTACAATTTGGGAAAGACCGCCACGCACGAGGTCGGACATTGGCTTGGACTGTACCACGTCTTCCAGGGCGGATGCGTTGCGCCGGGTGACTACGTCGATGATACCCCGCCCCAGAGCCTTGCGACGAGCGGATGCCCCGCGGGACAGGACAGCTGCTCCGGCGGAGGGCCCGACTCGATCCACAAGTGAGTACAACTTTGACCACTGTCGTGCTCGCATCGACTGCTGACCTCTGAACCCTTTGACCTTTTCCTACCGACGCTTCCGATAGCTACATGGAGTGAGTACATCCGCTGGATCTCACTTGAGCCTGATCACATTCACTGACTTGTTCTTGCGCCATTCCACCTTGTTCGTTACAGCTACTCGAGCGACGCCTGCCTGACTGAATTCACCGAGGGCCAGGCGGTGCGCATGGCAGCACTCAGCGGCGAATACCGTTCGCTGTAGACATCTCTTCACCTGCATCAAACAACAAGCAACAATCATCACTGATCAGCCAACCTGCATTCTTTTCACCCGTTCATGTGTGTGTGTGTGTTGGATTACGAATCTGAGGCTTGTGCGGTGCTGATGCGTATGCCCAGAGCGTCGGAGATCTCGTCGTGGGGCAGGCCACACTCGCGCAGGCGTTGCACGAGTTCACCCAACGAATCGAGGACCTGGCATCCCGTGCGCACCTTGCCCACCTCGGTGTTGGCAGGATGATCCTGCGCCAGGGCACACGAGAGAAGCGCTTGCTCGAGCGGCGCGAGATTGGCTGCATCGCCAGATGAGGATGGATGCCAAGTCCAGGTCTCGTTGACACGGAGCTGGATGGCGTGCCATTGAAGCGCTTTTACACGGCGTACCATCTCGGCTACCGCCGTAGCTTCGCCTTCGAAACAGAGGTAGCCAGGGTAGCCTGTGCGGACGATGCCCCAGATGCGCAGCTCGGGACACCAGTTGTTGAAGTCCTTGAGCTTGGAGGGTGCCTTGAGATGGTGCGACCAGAAGAGCGCGCGTGACATCTCGACCGAAGTGGGCGATTCGGACTGCTTGGTGTTCGGGACAGATTCGAGGCCCTGCTCTCGCCCGCCTGATTCGGCGTTTGGTGCGAGATCGGCAGAGGCTACTTGCTCCTGAGCCGTTGTTAGCAAGTCAAACAGAAAGAGTGATTCAACCCCATCGTCATCCCATGCGTGCGAGCGACCGACAAGCGCCTCCTTGATCGTCGCTACACCCTGGCTCGAGATGGTGGGCGCCGACACGTCCACGACCGCCTCGATGGTCGATCCGTCCAGCCAACCACCGCGAGACAGCAGCGCGAACGACAGCGCCACGTCCTGCGTCACCTGAATCTTGCCGGACATGCCTGCGATCGCAGACTCTGCTTCCTCAGCGAGAACCGAGCTCGGATCTTGTACGAAGCGCGACCATGCATCCTCCTCGTCGGCATTGACGCCCTGCCAGCTCCATTGATCGGCGGACGCGGACTGGATCACCATGTCCAGGTCCTGCGCCACATCCTCGAGGCTTGCATACTGCAGCGTCAGGAGTGGCGACGATGCCATCCCAGTGCCGCTATGTCCAATGCAAGCGGACCACAATCGGTGAGTGACAGTGTCGTCGGAAGATGCGGCGCTTGTCAGACGGCCTTCTGCTCAGATCTGCAACGACACCTCCACTCCGCGAAAGGGAGTCAATTGCTGACAAAACTACATCACTATATAAACGCAATGTGCGGTCTAGACGACATCTAAGGCACTCTGCCCGAGTGGTTAA